GGAAATCTTGAAATGACTTCTGTATTGGTAGAATCGTTATGAGCAAAATTAGGTTTGCACTGTAATTTCCAATTTCTTGTGTAGGACATTATACTTCAAACTTGCTCCATAAGGACAGGGGATGTTATTTAACACTAAGTATGGTACAGAAAAGTACATCAGTATTAAGGACAGTAAATAGGAATGGTCATTCAGCACTAAGAGAAGAAAATGTGAAAAACTGCAGATGTTTTTGCTGCCAACCAGAATAGAAGTGCCATTGAAACCACCTTTATTTACAGTTGGCACCTATTTTGATTTTAGTCCACCAAAGTCTATGAACAAGGCAGACGAATTCTGTCTTCTAAAGTCATCCCTTTCAAATAATAGAATCAGCCTGCGAAAGGATAAGTTCATGAAGAAAAACAAACAGAAAGATGAGAAGATTTTTCCACTGAGGCTGAAGAACACAGGAGTCTTTTATCTTTAACCTTGTCCCTGCTGCTTAATCCAGTAACCAATGGAGAATCTAAGTAAACAGATGCTTCAGTGTGTCTAACATCAATGATTGGGAGGGAGGGAAAGACCATTCAGCACCAAGGTCAGGGTACAGAGATGGTCATTTAGCACTAAGTACAAGGTACAGGGAAGGTACTTCTGCACTAAAGATAGGGTACGTAGAAGTATGAGGGGTCACTATTTAATCATCATTTTTGTCATTTTCAGCACTAAGGATTGGGGCTAGGAATGTCCTTTGAGATCAAAGAAAGGGTACATAAAAGTATTAGGGCTCATTATCATGTATTTTTTTTGCCATTTCCAAGACTACTAAGGACAGGGGGAAGGAAGGTCTTTCAGCAGTTTAAGTGTGGGACAAGGAAGTACATGTATTAGGCATCGCTGTTTTAATGTCATTTTTTTTCAGATTACATACCGGTACTGTTTGATACAGAACTGGTTATTAATTGGGTCAATGCCCACTTGCAAGATACAAGTTAACAACAATGAAATATTGGTCCCTACAATGTTTTGAGGAAGTCTAAACCACCAACATAAACATTCAGTAACAAAAAATAAAATCACTTCCTTTTCCTAGAAATAGGAATGTTTTTAACATTTTTTAACTTGGTGTGTCATCATCATTACAATGTGAATGCAACAAATATGTCAAGTTTCCTCAAAAATGCAACTGTATTGCAATAGCTACAGCTTACAGTAATGGTATTACTATAATCCTATGAAGGATATTCCTCTTTCAGTCACAATAAATTCACACGTGTGTCCTCCTGGCTTTATCATAGTTGCACTATAAGTAGTCATCTCTTTGCCACTGTCTCCTGTAGATTCTTCCTGCTTTGTAGCTCTTGAGAACACATAACGATACTTGATCATATTCTGCCATGCATGGCACATGTATTCATAGTGTTCCACATTCTCAACTTTTGTCTTCTCCACCTTCGGAGACAGTGTGGTGTCTTCCTTTTGTTGGCTCTTCCTACTTTTCTGACCAAATATAGCTTGCTTGGTAGCGATGAGGACTATTCCGTAGTCCGTAAGGTATCTAGACAGAACGTCGACGCATCGTCTCTGGTTTAGTTCCTGTCCAGATATGCTGTCATCTGTGCTCCTGTCAAGCCAGTAGAAAGCCGAAATGCTGTCCACTATTAGCAGAGCTACGTCGGGGGTGGACGCAAGGATGTGTTCTAAAGAGTGCAGAGTGATGACTAGCTGTTCGCTGCTGTTGCACCTCACGATGTACAGCCTACGTAGACAATCCTTTACCCTGTCCTCGTCTGTGGTGTCTAGCCTGCCTTCTAGTATAGCGACCAGTCGGAGGATGTCGAAATGGAAGTCAGTGTCGATGAACACCACGCCAGCCTCCAGACCGCCAAGGGATGCGGGGAGGATACAGCGGGCCGTGAGGTGAAGCAGCATCTCCGTCTTGGCAGTTCCCTCCGGTCCGTAGAATTCTACGGCGTCTCCCGGCTTTGGACCGGCATCGGCGCTGAAGAGGGACGTCTCGAGCTGGGTCAGTGATGGTCGGCTGCCCAGTCTCGCCAACAGCTAGGACAGGAACAGGGGTAGGAAGATTTTTTAATCATTTATTCTATTCATCTATCATTGTCAGGATCATTGTAAAATCTGTACAATTAAACACATGTAAATTTAAAACACACAACTTACCAATGTCCTAACGTTACCAATAAATAAAAAGGCTTTAATAGATTTCTAACTTTTTACATGTAACAGTAGCCGCTGCCAGGATTCTTATACTTATAGTCAGCAAATTTTGTTGAAGGAACTTTAAAAAACGTAAAACTGTCTATACTACAACTGCGTTAGTGCTCAGACATCTTGCCTTTTATAGGAATATGTGGTGAATATAACTTAATGTTTGTTGGGATTGAATATAGGAAACACTGAGTTACGTTTAAACCTGATTAACAACACTGAGGATGCATGTCATGCCGATATCTTCATCTCAAACGTTAGCTTGTGTTGTCTTCAGTCACGAATTGTCCAATTTTTTCAAAGTTTGCGGAGAAAAATTGCTAAAAACTAGGATTTTCCCCCAAACCTGCGCTCCACTCTCCCTGGAGGCCGCCATGTTGGGTGAGCCGAGTGCGCCTGTGCAGCCTGCTGCATGCCGGGAAGGTTCGCCATAATTAGCGGGAGGACATGTTGGACTTGTCGGAACTTCCTGCTGCAAATCATGGCAAATTTCTCGTCTTCTGAGACACCTTTCCCTCCTTCTTCCACTCACGCCGACTCTACAGACGCCTGAGAGCGCGTGGGAGCCGTACAGACGCTGTGTTCGTGCGATGTCCGCTGCGACAAGGGTTAGCGCGTAGGACTAGCCGTTGAGAGGTGGGGAGAACCAGTTCACAAGATTTTTTAGCCGGAGGGTTGGGCATAGTGACGCCAAACCAGCCAAAAAATATTGATTTTATATGAATGCTTGAGACGCTCTACGCCCTCTTACCCTACTAACCTAGTGCGTTCTCTCATGTTCGTGTATCCTGTGCCTGATTTTCTGTATTTGCTGTTGACAGTTATGTGGTAATGATTTCCTGTGCGTGTGTAAGAGGGGAGGGGGGGGGGTGTTGGCACGTTTCGCCATTTCTCTGTCCACAGTTGTCCGTAGTTTGGTCACGTTTTCTGCTCATACCGTCACCCCAGCCTCCATACCGACCTCTAGTTATCCTCCAAGTAGCCAACAACATCACCAAGACGATTATGGTCGTCTGTATGTACTTTGGAAGGTTATATGTTAAAAAAACTATGGCACTGATCAAGGCATTTGCCATGTGTCGATATGATTCTGAAAAAAGTATTTTATTATGTACATGTATCGTGTCACTTACAGGGTAATTAGAGGTAGTTTGCTTCCTGTCATCAATTTATGTTTTCAGAAATGTGCAGCATTGAAAGATGCTTTCCTTTTTGACATTGTTTTATAATTTTTTTCTGTGCATGATGAAACTTAATATCCTGGCCGTGGATGTCACACAATTTGACTTTGCTCTTTTTTGATAAAAATTAACTAACCAGGAAAAGATACGAGTCAACGTAATGCTGGCCACTTTAAAATGGCAATGGCGTCAGAAGCTAGAGGAATGTCTCATTAACTAAATACTAGTAGCCTTAATTTTTCCTGAATGTACAGTAAAAGGTTTCACTATAACTTATACAAGTTATAGTGTAAAAACAAGCAATTTCCACCTTCATAATTTGTTGTAGTATCTGTATCTTTATAATAATTCTCTGTCATAACTGTCAAAGTATTTGTCTCTCAAGTTGATGGTATTTTCCAAATTTGAACTGACTGGTAGTGTCTTGACGTATTTTCCATTTAAAAAAAAACATACACCTTTCTGTGGACACTGTGTTCATGCAGCCCACTTTCAGTTTTTGTTTGTTCAGTTTCTGTTCCTGAGTAGGACAGGTGTCAGTTTCTGTGAACATGAATCGCATGAAAAGTAACAACACATACAAGTTCAGGGCTGGATATCCCACCTGCATATGCAGGCTAATGTAGGTAAAATGTGTGGTATTTGAAGGTAAAACTTTAAAGTCACACATAAGAAATTAACTTTTCTTCCTATTGTCCCAGCGCTGTCCCAAAGTAGATATCAGTTGTCCCGAAGTGAAAATGAACTGCCCCAACCTGTTTTTGGGAAGTATTGTATGACTTCAACTTGAAGTCAACTTTATTTTGCTTGTGTTCACTCCCAGGTGCACTGTAATTGCAGAGTAGACAGGAAATTCGAGGGGACTTACCTGAATCCCAAAGCCGGGGCGTGTGCCTGATAAACAAAAGAAGGGCTGACATTCTGATGTTGATTATTTTTCTATTGTCCCAAAAATGTCCTAAAGTGTCTTTTTAGTTGTCCCAGCCTAAATTTTAGTGGTCAGTGGCCATTGGACCACCTTTAGTTTCGAGCCTAGGTTAGTGCCCACATCCTTACAAGTGGAAAGAGATTTTGTTTGACTTATATTAAATTAACCAGTTAGTAAATCATACAGGTTGCATTTTTATAATGTCTATTTTTACAGGTTGCATAATTGTCTCAAATGCCTTAGCAGCCTCTTATTATTTTCTCAATATCAGACTGAACCAAGGATTTACAAATTACAATTTTAATTATAAAAATGTTAATACATGTATAGTAGCATTGGCATATGTACAAAAGATACTGATTGACTGTCAGTAAGAGTAGAACTTGGCAATCTTGTTTTTATTCAGGTAGTCCAGTGTGAAATCTCCCATGGAAAATAGCTGAAGCCCTGTCCGTGTAATTGAAAACAGATTCCGCCATATCCTAAGCTCAGGAGACAAGAAACAGACAATATGAAACAATTAGGATCCTTAATTCACTTACATGCCTCATCAGTCTTACTCCTATATCATTAGGGTGTGCAAATCAGATTTCACATTAAAATTGAAGATCCACGTCCCTTGATGAGGTAGTGAAATCACCGGTTGTGCCCTTGACCAGGGAGCTTCCTGAAGAGGGTAGTTCCAAGGTCAAGTCGTAGGTCTTCATTGTAGAAAATGACTTTGCCAGTTGTGTGGCAGGTCGTCACAGGTCATAGACCTTCCTGGGGCCACACCAATTCTACCAATTGTTTCTCGGATTTTTCTGCTCCGTGTTCTTTCTGATGTCCAACAGCTACTCAAAAAACTTCTAGTTTGTACTATAGTGATACAATACCATGAATCAGTAAGATAGCATTAAGTTTAGATAGATGAAGAGTGTTGGAATAACACTTGAAATGTTTGGCTATTAAATTTATATCCAGTTGACAAGTCTAAATACTATCTTATATATCTGATTCAAGTTTTCTACCCTGAATGACTAATCTTCACAAACTTATACTGTTACAGAATACCATGATTTTTTTATGATTCAATTTTGTGCTTACTGTTCCTCTCTTATGATGTCATCCTTACAGACCTTACCTGATTCACTTTCTTTTTTATCAAGTGCTCCTAGTGGGGCCATGTATCAGAATTTACCTAGTACTGTAATGATGTGTAATCTAAAATTGTGCTGTGCCTGTGACTGTACACTTGACAGCACAGATGCACTTAGTAAATTTCCCAGAAGACAAGTCTCTATTGAAACAAATTTAGAGGTATGTGTGCATTGAGATTTTTTTTTTTACATTCTTGCATGCTTGGAGTTCCATGGCTGTTGTCAGGTTAACATTTGAAATTTTTTGCCGGCTCTTTGTACAAGAACTGAATTGACCGGCATAGTTTGCATCTATGAATGATGTCTGTTGATAGTTGCTGAGTGTATGAACCTCAGTTGTAAGTACCTGTCAATCTGTCATCAATCAATCAATCAATCAATCAATGTACATGTGTATGTTCATTCAAACAAGGTCATAGGTCCTGATAGTGATACCTGATTCTATGACAAAAAATTGAGTGTAAAAATTAAGTGCAAAGTTTAAAGTTTCCCAAGCTGACTGTCAGTGAATTGTGCCTGGGGGTCTTTTGGTAACATCTTGTGTGAAAAGTACAAAATAAGTTAATAAGACAAATCTTAACTGTACCACTCAGAATGTAGGAAGTCTGGATCATACTTAAACTGTTAAGAAAAACTTGCTATTATTTCTTTTATTTGTACTTCATAGGTGGTAACAGTCAATGCAGCAAATAAAAAATCCACATTCACCTAGATGTGTATATATACAAGGACCAGTACCGGTTAGGTGCCTGTAGATATCAGAAACACCTGCACAGCTCCAATTTTACCTGCACTAACCTGCATATGCAGGTGGTATGTTGAGCTGTGAGTTAACCTTACTCTGCTAAAGGAACTGTCAAATTTGTATTGGTGATGGGGTTAGGCAGCAGGGGGAGGGTTAAGGAAAGGGCTCCCTTTTGGGAGGGGTTTATCAGTAGAGTTGTTGAGTAGTTGAGAACAGCTGTGTCACAGTGGAAAGGATGTTGTTGGTTCTTATCTGGTGGGGCTGCCCTGTAGCCGACGATTGGTCCTGTTTGTAAAAAGGATGTCACATTTTCCTGTGTTTGGGGTGAAAGCTGATGTCATCAGCCCTTTAATCAGCACCTCGGCAGAACGTACTGTGCTGTGCAAACGATTTCTTTTGGGTGTTTGGTCACCGTTGCGTCAGAACTTTGTTCGTCGCATATCTTTTCCGACACAACATTTGAAAACACAGATGGGATGTCATACTTAGATACGCAAACATAATGTTCTGTGGAAGTGTAATGCACATCACGATCCTTATATCGCATAGGCACAGTACGTTTGCCCGTGTTATCTTGCAGCCAAAGCTAAAGAAGTATAGCCTGGGTACCATCCCCAGTAGTATATTCGCAAACTCTATAACTGGGTCTGGACTTGCACACATATAAAACAATTGGTCATGACGTCACGTAATGAGCTAGCCCGAGCAGCGGGGCTTCATTTGATTGGCTGAGCCTCAGAGGCGACGGCCAATGGCGCGCCTGCATTATTCAAGTGATGTTTGTTGTTTTGTAAACACAGATCTTCGCGCGAGTGTTCCTTTTCTCGGTGCGTTCTTTTTTTTACCGGTAGGACGCACAAAACATCACGAACGAAATTATTCAATGCATCTTTTTGCTCATTTTTGAGCGACGATATTCCGTCTAAATCGTCCAAAACGGACGTGATTGCGAGGTCAACATCAACCTCCGTGAGCTGAGCGGCTTGTGCGTCAGCCATGTTGATGATTTATCGCGGAAAGACTGACTACGGCTATATCATGTGCGCTTTAGCGTTCGGTTCGCCGTCGGACATGTTGATGATAAGGCGTTCGGACGTTCGAACGGACGCTAACGTCGCCGTTCGGACATCCGAACAGCCATTACCTAATATGTACACACCCAAAAAGGGATTAGACGAGTAGGACCAATCAGCGCGCTCGTTCAAAATCTGAACGAATATTTAGACTCCAGACGCTACATATGTGTGCAAGTCCAGACCCAGTTATAGAGTTTGCGAATATACTACTGGGGATGGTACCCAGGCTAAAAGAAGTAGACAAAGGCTATCAAAACGATAGGCTGTGAAATAGATAATATGCTCTCCTCAAAACATGCAACTTCCACCTTATCCTCCATTCTACAGGACTATTACAAAGGTATAGTTTTGCTGTAAAAGGAAGTGATATGCTGATGTTGACTGTTTTCTTTCTTATCCTCCCAATATTTCTCTGTTCAGGAGAAACCAAGTAAGATGGCAGCATCCAGCTTCAACCCCCGTGACCTGGACCAGTGGTACTTTGAGCGCGTGTCTCGCAATCAGACACAGGAGTTACTGCAGGGAAAGATGCACGGGACGTTCCTGGTACGCGACAGTACCAGCTGTCCCGGGGACTACGTGCTCTCCGTGAGCGAAAACACCAAAGTCAGCCACTACATCATCAACAGACTGCAGAAGGGCTTCCGTATCGGTGACCAGGATTTCGACGACCTGCCGTCTTTGATCGAGTTCTACAAGATTCACTACCTTGACACGACCACGTTGATAATCCCGGCACAGCGCCCGTCCGGCGTGCTGCCCGGAGGACCGCCGGCGCCCCAGCCTCCCGCTCCCGTCGCCTCTGTGCCCACCGTGATGGAGGAACGTGTGCGAGCGCTCTACGATTTCGACGGGAACGATCCCGAGGACTTGCCTTTCAAGAAAAACGAAATACTGGTGGTGGTTAGAAAGGACGAAGACCAGTGGTGGACTGTACGCAACAAGGACGGCAGAGAGGGGTCGATTCCGGTCCCGTACGTTCAGGTACTCCCGCCCGGCCCGAGCCATACCGTCGCTGCGCCGTCTCACTCCCAGCAGCCGCATTCCCCTCCCGGATACCACGACCCACAGGCGGCGGGCATTAGAAATGAGCCGTCTTCTACGCCAGCCGTCGCTACAGCCGCTCCAACAACCCACCCCCTGCCCAACCCTCAGAACGGCCCGGTGTACGCACGCGTCATACAACAGAAAATCCCCAGCCCGTACGACACGACGGCGCTAACGCTGGAAGTAGGCGACATCATCCGAGTAACCAAGATCAACGCCAGCGGGCAGTGGGAGGGAGAACTCAAGGGAAAAACAGGACATTTCCCCTTCAATCACGTTAAAATTATCGACCCAAGTAATCCCGAAGAAAACGATTCATCCTGGAGCTAAGCAGCGCAGGAAATAGGTGAAAAAATAGGGCGAAAAAGCAGAAACAAACAAAAACAAAAGGTGTTAGAATATTTCATGCAAAAAAAAGCGACAGATAAAAAGTTGGACTAACAAACTGCCAAGTGAAGAAAAGTGGAGGGTAGCATTTTATTTACTGTGTATACCTACTAATTTGTGAAAAGCAAAAAAGGCAAAGCTACTGTGCAGAGACAAATTCATGTGAATAGCTTACTTGTAAATGTAGGTAGGAGGGCTGATTGAAAAAAAAAAGTAGAGACAGATGTTTTATGTGTAGCTGAGAAGGCAAGTAAGCAAAGTTTAGTGGTTCATTGTGCATATCTACTCGTATCATTTAGTCAAAACATTTTTGGCCACATGCTTCACTACAAGGAAACATTACAACAAACTATAGCTCTACAGATACAAAAGGTATTTGCATAAAGAATTTGAATGAAATCTTGACAGCAAAGCAGTTACAGAGAAAAGGAATTCTTTCAAGCTTTGGTTAGAATTTTTCATTTTCAAAACTCCACTTATTAAAGCTAAGTCCTCTATAGCTACTATCTACACTGAGAAAGCATTTGACAAAAGAGTGGAGGTGTTACGAAACCATTTTAAGGTCTGTATTTTGTATTGTGCTCTTTGAAAAATTGTGCATTTTCTATACCTTCCTATTTGAGAAGGTTGGCTTTTGTTGAATAAATGTAAACTTATTTTGACAAATATGTGATTTAAAAAAGCAGAAAAAAATGCAGTGAAGTTGAAAGTCAGGAATGTTAAATATGTGGAATTTTGGCAAGATAAACCTGCATATGTTAAGGTAACAATGACAGCGCCGAAAACAGTTTTTGCCATGTATTGCAATAAACTTGCAAGCAGTATCATATCATGTATAAGTTCCTAATGGTTTATGTTTTGATGTGGTACAAATATACTACAAATTATATAAGATAAACCTTTGTAAGGTCATTACAACCTAAATGCCTTCTGTGCTTCACTTTCCGCTTAAGTTAAGATAGTTTTGATTATGCTTGTGAAAAGATGGGTAGAAATTATGTACATTTCTGTTTAATGTAATGATATGTTAAATGATTTTGTTGACTTGAATGTAAGAAAGTGTAGGCAATGTTATATGCTATCTAAAAGCTACATGATACTTGTACTACTGATATGAACAAAAGGATCCTGGCATTGTATCATAGCCAGCTTCTTCGTAGACTTAGTTAACTCCGTGTTATTTTACTTATACCTGACATTTTCCTTGAATCACCAAGGACAGGTCTCAGTAGATGATAGAGTATTGTGCTATGATTTATCAGATGTAATAACGTGTATATCTGGGACAAGTAACTATTGAGTATTGGTCAAAAATAGTGTACTTTTGTATTATCTATTGAAAATTGTTTTATGGTTTAGAAGAAAACAATTTTCCCAATAGGTAAGATATTATTTCCCAATACTGCTCAAACAAAACGCTGTTATAACATTCGCTGATAAATATGTCAGATCTGAAACTATGTAAAGGTTAAATGTGCTACATTTCTAGAACAGTTGATTTCTTTCAAGACATTGTTAACCAAGAAGAACGCTTTGAAACCACAATTTTGTACATGAAACGTCAAGATAGCCATAAAAGTTATGACTTAAGCAAAGGTACCAAGATATGTTGGAAGGACAGCTCTTTCATAACAATATTCAGAAACAAGTTGAAACAAATTTCCCAAACATTTTTTTTAAAATTTGAACTGGCCAGTATTATATCATTGTAAGCCTGAAGAATGCATCTAAACTTCCAGCTTATAAAACATGTTTGGCAGCAGCAAAAGATGAAGATTGGTTAGAAAAACTATATACAAGGCATGATGGGTAAATAAAAAGGATGATGGGATTGAAACGGCTCTCTCGTCCACCCAGACTACCATTTGGGTAGACATACCATAAATGGAGGATGTTAGTAGCAAAGGCACTCCAGGATTTTCAAAGTTTTTGGAGTAGAGTAACAGTTCTGTCTAAGAGCATTCAATTCTGTTAATTCTGAAAGAAATTTAACTGCCAGGTTGTGTTGTTTTTTTATACATCTCTCCTGCATCTTGCTCTTGTCCAGTTTTTGTGTAGTGACTAGTTCATAAGTGCACGGTGCTATAGTATTTGATCATGATATAAATTTTGTCAGTCATTATAATTCCTAATTGCCTTGTAACTTTAGACCACTTCTGGTGTTAGCTATACTCGGCTGTTCAGAAATCTAATGTAAGCCACATGTTTCAACTTGCTGCTGGATATGTCAAGTGAGAGAGCATGCTTTCTACTTCACTATGGTACAACTGTTTAATTCTGCCATAACTTTCAGATAGTTGTAAGCCTATTTCACATAAAGTCTAATTTCCCAAATATTAAGTGTAGCTCTGTCACCACAGGTTTCTGGATTGGTGTAATAGTTTGAAAAAAAATGTTCAACATTGATATGATAGAGGACAAAAATTTCTGTTTCAAGTACAGTAAACAAGCTGCAGTATGATAGTATGTAGGGTTGCTTTGCTGACAACTACGTGCTCAAACTGATCAAATGTTTAGCTCTTTGTAGTATCAAATGGCTGCCATTTAACCAGATATTGCTTCACCAGCTCTTGCTTTTTAGGTTTTATATTATCTGTCATGGGGAGGTTGTTGGGGCAAGAAACAAAATGAAGCACAACACCCAAGAGTTCATTTTCTGCTCAGAAAATACTGTAATTCTTGATTTTTTTTTCATTGGCACACCAGTTATAAGACAAATTGGTTGGCATTGAGAGGGCATTTGGATATGTACCAGGTTCTGCTTAAAACGTACAGCTTACACTTAAATTTTAAGAAAATGGATACTTGTTTGTCAGATTTTGAAACATTTTGTGGAGTGTTGTTCAGAACATGCTAAAATGTCAGTTGTATCAATGTTGGTATAGATGAAAGCTTGTCATGTTAGGTTGGTATGTACAAATGTAGACATGTACCCATAGATATGACAGTTTCTTAATCAGCAAAGGAAGACTGCTCAAGAACCACCATACATTTGCGATAGTAAGAAGTCATTGTGTTACAAAGGTAATACACAAAGCATTAGTGGTTAGGGCACTCTTACCAGCATAGCTTTTAATGTTACCGCTAAGTTGAAGCATTCTACAAGTAACGAAGCATCCTTGTATGTGTAAATGTAATAGGCCTATGTCAGTCTTTTCTGTGGTTACTACATTGTACCTACCAGTGTATAAATGCCTGTTTTCTCTCTGCTGTATCTCAATGAGGTGAATGTATCACATATTTGTTACCATGTTAATGAGCAAAACCAATAAAGGCTTTTGCATGAGCTGTGGAAGTGTTGAGCTGTGTTGTTTGTTGGTCCAAGGACATTTAGGGTATATAAGGCCACGGCAAGTAATTTTTACAGATGACATAAGCGCGCGCATTGATTTTTTCTCTCAAGAAACAAGAAATTTTGTTGCCCTCTGACAGTGGTCAACATGCCGAAAATGGGCAAAGATGTTTGTCGCCATGCTGGAATGTAGATGGCAGATAGATATGAAGAGAGGAGAAAATCAATTGCTCTGATTAATTGTTATTGTTTTGTCTTTTACTTTGATGCAGTGATGTATTTCGTTCCTTTTAATCTTATGATTGTGATGTTCCCAATGAATCAAAACCATTTGTACAATGATTGAAAACTTTAAAGGATTTTTCAGTGACGATGGATATTGTAATAGTTGACAGTAAAGCTAGCACAATACAGGTATCATTTCTTGTTTAACAAGGTTTATGATGTCAAAATTTGAAAATGTTGGAATATCTTTTTTTTTTGCCCGCCTTGTTTTGTTTTCACCCTATCGCATTAGATTTGGAGTCTGTGAAGGATGTCATCCATAAAACTTACTCGCTGTGGCCTAATGTCCTTGAGTTGTCTTAAAAAGTATCTTTTATATTCCTTTGTGACATTTCATGTTTTTAAAGTTGGATATGTTTTCTGGTACTTTTGTATGATTTGGGGGAGCAAAGAAAAGGCCAGAATTGTGACAGACATTTGCAGACAAATTATAGTTTTAATGTATATTTCATTAGTCAAAGTGTTTAGAATAGAAACAAGATTGAAGAGAATTTGGGTCACGAAGGAATTAGACTGCCATTTAGTTTGGAAATGATGGAAAGATTTAAATTCACTTCTTTGAGGCCTTACCACTTTTGTCCAAACTCAACCTAGAGTATAAAATCATGACCATGTCCCATGGAGGTATAAAAGAAGCATGTCCAGAACAAAAGTTACGACAAATCCAGAGGGAATGCGTTTGTAGGCTCATACATAACATCATACATTAGGCCACACCACCTTAATTTGTTGGTTCTCGGACTTGCCTCTTCATTTTTTTTCTGATTTAAAAAAAAAAAAAACTGCTCATATTTTGCCCCCAACAGTTGAGGAAGGTCGTCTTCTTCCTAACTTGTTAGTTTTTCCATCTATTATAGAGTATCAATGCAGTGGTTTGATTTTTTCTGAAAAAATCCAAGAACCAACATTATTAAATTGGTGTGGCCTTAGTTGAAATTTTAGCATACATGTAAAGTTACCTTACATCTGTACATTCAAATCCGGAAGGCCCCGCCATCTAGGCGTCTCCAAAAAGTTGCACTTGATGACCTCCCCCTATCGTGACATTGTAACATTCCTATTCTTCCGGATGTCCCAGCATTCTTTGAAAAGCAACATGGCGGCGCCCATGTGTTTGGAAAAGTTTGTGTAGATTTTTTTGTACGTTTTTCAGAACTCCTGCCGACAATGTCGATGTGATTTATATCGGAGCGATCTAACAGGTAAGAGTGAATGATAGGTTATATCCAGTGATGACCAATGTATCGTATATAGGGCGTTTTCATATGTTAAAGACCGAACTGCTTGGGGGGAGGGGGGTGCACATGTGTGGATGAGGTGTCGCGTCGCAAGATTTTCACAACGCTTTAAACGTTAGCATTCAAAATGGGTGGTTCTGGCCCATTCAAAGGCTATCCGATTTTAAAGCTACAACTTTAGGTCCATGCGAGGAAACGTTGCTGTTGATTATATCTAACAGTCGAACAGAATTCGCTCATATGCTGGTTTATATTGCAGCAAAAATAATTTGTGCAGGTATAAATTTTTATAATGTGTACTTGCACTGGTCCATGACTCCATGTACTCATGGGTCTATATACTTATGTAGGTGTATGTGGGTTTTTATTTGCGGCATAATTTGACTGTCACCAGTATGAAGTTGTTGTTGTTGTTGTCCATGTTTAACGTCTATTATGTCGCTAGACGTGGTCTCTAGGTGCTCAGTTTTTCACTTGGTTCAGTTCAGAGTCAAAAGCTCTCTAGGTATTAACACTTGGTGACTCGTGCTTGTGTGAAGCGGAGAGTGTTTCTAGGAGAGCATGTCAAATCGGCGCGTACTCTCGATGTACCGGGAGAGGGCTAGGTACATCTGGTTGTTTGCTCCTTCAGGAAGTCCTACTCTCATTCCGGCCAGTGTGACGATGTCCGTGTCTCTGTCTTCCTTTGCTGTGTTGTAGGTCTCGTGAATGTTGTCTGCTTCCATCAGCATGTGATGCCTTTCGTTCTCATAGCGGGGGCAGTGGTACAGGTAGTGGTTGGTGGTCTCCAGAGCGTCGCAGTTTGGGCAGTATGGTGAGACTTCAGGGTTTTTCCAGTTCTGGTACGCATTGAGTCTGGTGTGCCCGCTCACCAGCTGGTTGATGGTGACTTGTGTGCTTCTTCTACCAAGTGCTCTGCCTTTCTTCTTCATATTCGTTCCTATCTTCTGCATGTGTTGACTTGTCGTGTTGAGTTCTGTTCTTCTATCCCATCTCTCGTGTGCTTTTGTTTCAATGTGTTTCATGGCTTGATGTTTGGTCCAGGATGTGCTGTTTTGGGGGTTGGTTGATGCCTCGTTGGCTGCAAAGAAAAGTACAAAGTACAAAGAAGTACAAAGAAAAAATAGCAATGCTTTCTGAATTCTGAAGTTTCTGAACAATTTTTAGTATGATCCATACTGTAAGAAACAGGGGCGAGCAGTAGAAACAGAAAGAAACCCCACTGGTCCCGGGCCGGGGTTTGAACCCATGACCTCCCGAGCACCAGCTTCATAACCAGATGCTCTAACCGCTCAGCCGAAAAGGTCTAGACCCGTCGGCCGGGTCAGTTGGTAGTGCCTATAAACCCCCACTGTTACACATACTTAAATAATTCTGACCGCGGCCGGTACAGGTAAAATTTGATAGGTTCAGGTAATTTTCAATGTTGTGTAAAAAAAAAAAATTATTGCAAATTTTTCAGAGTGAGAAATGAGTGAGTTTGACGACGCCAGTCACAAGCCCCACCGGGCGCGGCAGCATGGCCGTAAGCAGGAGAAGAAGAAGGCTAAAACTACCCAGGATGAAAACCTGTCGGCCAGACAGCGTAACCCCAAAGCCTTCACTGCACAGTCAGCTGTGCGTATGGCCAGGCAGTACAGGAGGTAACTGGTTTGTCTGTATATTTTTTAATGTCATACCTGGGCCATTATATTATAATGTTTGATACGGGTGTTCCAGACTGTGTGATAACTTAGGTTATCACTTTTGACACTTTTGAATGAGCGGTCGTAAGGCCACAGCAAGTAATTTTTATGGATGACATCAGCGCACACATTAATTTTCAGCCGATTTTGGAAAAAAAAAAAGAAGAAATTTTGTTACCTTCTGACAGTGGTCAACATGCCGAAAATGGGCAAAGGTGTCTGTTGTCATGCCGGAAGGTGGATGGCAGATAACTATGAAGAGAGGAGACAAGAAAGGCTCTGATTTAATGTTTTGTTTCTTACTTTGATGCAGTGACATGTGATGCTGACTGTGTATATATGACGTTCCCACTGAATCAAAACCATTTGTACCATGATTGAGTCATAATTTTAAAATGTAGAAACCTTGTTTTTTTTCGCCCGTTCACATTAGATTTGGAGTCTGCGGGGATGTCATCCATAAAATTTACTTGCTGTGGCCTAATAGACCAATCCAATAGCCCCATCTGCCTCTGTTAAAATGCAATGCAAACTAATTGCAAAATAAAAACGCAAGAATGCACATAATTTAGTCAAGCATGCAGCCACTCTCATTGGTTGAACCATTAATTGCTGTACTATCATTGGTTGAACTGGTAATTGTGATTGACAGTCTGGATGGTCTATTGGTGAACCTCCCCTATAAGATGAGCTCTTTTCCATCTTACAGGGCTCAGGATGTGAAGACCAAGAAGCAGCACATCCCGTATGTGGATAGAACCCCCCTGGAGCCCCCTCCCATCGTGGTGGGGATTGTGGGGCCCCCTAAGGTCGGCAAGTCTACCCTGATGCAGTGCCTGATCAAAAACTTCACCAAGCAGAGACTGTCCAATGTCCAGGGGCCTGTCACTATTGTCTCTGGTAAGGGAATCATGCATTTTTCACTAGAGAATATGACTTGTTACTTTGAAAGATGAAAGGTATTAGATTGTTAGTGTTCTATCTAGCGTCCGTCTTTCCGTCATTTGATAGAATTTTGCTGTTCATGACAGACAAAAATTTGCATAATCTGTCTTTTGAAATAGTTTTATTTGAATGTGTTTAAGTTGTTGAATTTTTCCACCAGGCAAGAAGAGGAGATTGACTCTGTTTGAATGTGGGAATGACGTCAGCTCCATGATAGACATCGCTAAGGTCGCTGACTTGGTAAGTAGTTGTACACATCTCCACTTTGTTTGTTTACATTCTGGTACAATGTAGTTTGTGGTGGTGCCACAAACTGAGTGCACTACGTGTGGGCTGTTTTAACTTAGTGAACTTGTGTCAACAGTTAATGTCAGAAAAGTGAAGCAAATTACAATCACACAAAGATTTTATCGATGAAAGTATTTCAATTTTTGGTGCAAAAATGTTACATAATGCGCCTTTAAAAATCTTATCAATAATGCAAATTACAATCATGCAAATCAATTCAAATCAATAATGCAAATTACAATCACACAAAGATTTTATTGATCATAGTATTTCAATTTTTGGTGCAAAAATGTTGCATAATGCCCCTTTAAGGTAATAATTGATATGTGATAAACAATTTCATATTTCAGGTTCTGCTGCTGATCGATGCCAGTTTTGGTTTTGAGATGGAGATTTTTGAGTTCCTGAACATCTGCCAGGTTCACGGCTTCCCAAAGATCATGGGTGTTCTCACCCACCTGGACCACTTCAAGAACAACAAGCAGCTCAGGAACACCAAGAAAAGACTCAAACACAGGTTCTGGACAGACGTGTATCCTGTGAGTTGTCATTATGTTTACCAAAGGAAAACATTTTGTTTTTACTCAGTTTCTTCCTCTTCTGTTCCAAACACTAACCTCTGACCTGGCCAATGACATGATTTATTGATGTCTGTCACCATGGTGACTGGTGTTAGGTTACATAATGTTGCAATTTCATGGTCTGCTCTACTCCTGTCACCATATACTAGTAGTACATGTACGTGAATTTGTTTGAGTAAAATTAACAGGGCAGACCATGTCCAAAGGTAAATATGCATTTGCTTTGCAAATGTTACTTCTCTAGTTTTTTTTTTTAACCGAGTGGTTCAATGTAAGGCCTATACGACCACTTCTCGGCATTGTACTACTACTACTAGAAGTATGAGAGAAACATGGCTATGTCAAGAGATGGCAGTGAACGTTTGATTTGAAAGCCTGTAGATTGTAGGTTGGTGGGAAACACTTGTCAGGGAGGGAATTCCAAAGCTTGGCCGTTCGGGGAAAGAAACTGTCACTGTAAAAAGATTTCGAACAAGGAATTTGGACGGTGAAGTTGTGTGAGCTAGTGGAGAACCTAGTGGATCACTTAAAAGTTCTGAGTAGTGGAACTAGTTTCTAAGAGAAATTATCTCAAATTTGATTCCCAAATTTGGTAAAGAAAACTTAGACCTGAGAACAAATACTACTGTAATTCGCTTTGTCTTGCAAAATTTTATGGTCTGAGGAAAATGTTCACAATCACAGAAATTTTGGTGCTTGTGGCAAGTGCAGGTAGTTTATGGTGAGTTCCTTTCCTGTGTTGGAAGTAGTACTTGGAACAAAGCTACAACTAATGGATTCTACCAATACAGATGATCTTTCATTGGAATGTCTGTACAACTGTCATTTTCAGGGTGCGAAGTTGTTCTACCTGTCTGGTATGGTGTATGGAGAGTACCAGAAGACTGAGATTCACAACCTCGGCAGGTTCATCTCCGTCATGAAGTTCCGCCAGCTCCAGTGGAGAACAACCCACCCCTACATCCTGGCAGACAGGTAGGTTCTCAGTCTCAGTCCCAGTAGGTTACCCCCAGATAACTCCAGCTGGGGCAAAGTGGGGGAAGAGGTAGATAAGGTCCCAGGTTAGGACAGGCTCAACGGTGGGAGACAACACAACTGGGCCAGGCAGGGAGTTCCACTCCGATATGACATGGGGAAAAATGAATCCATGTATGTCTCTGTCTGTGTGTTAATGGGTTGAAACTTGAAAGTTGGCAGTTCTGCATAGCATGTTGACAGAATGTACTGTGCCTGCGTGAAACCATGGTTTCTGTTAGATGACTTTGACTCCTGCAGTCTCTTAGTGTCACTGATCGTGGTCCATGCACTGATGAAAGGTAGCGGATGTTACCTGAAACGTCTGACCATTTCCAAAAACATTATTATACCTATTTGCATGAGTACTGGTACCAAACTGTTTTTTGGCGGACTTTGATCAATGTCAGAATTTTGTCCCTTGCGTAAGATATCTTTTCCAATACAATATTTAACAAGTACAGACGGGATGTTGATGCCACATTTTTTGGTGGCTTCTGTCCATGTTTTCCAACTAGGATGGAAGATCTGACCAGCCCAGAAGACGTGAGACAGAACCCGAAGTGTGACAGGACGGTCGCGCTGTATGGATTCCTGCGTGGGGCTCACATGAGGACCAACAGCAGTGTGCACATTCCAGGTACATGTTTCTGGAACTGCATAATTTCTCTTCCGAAGGTCTTTCACTAGCTTTTTATAAGGTTAGGTTGTGGCCTTGTAATGTACTACAGTTACTGTAGCAGTTGATGTACATGTAAATACAGACAAATAAAGAAACAAGGTATCTCCCGACTTATTCTGGATCAAGATTGCCCCAAAATTTATGAGTTTTTCACAAACTCATAGGGGCAGGCCTTGGCCTAGTAGTGTAGCAGTTGGTCTTTGGGAACAGTTGTAAGGTTTGAACCACTCACACTGGGAAGGACACCTACTCTTATCGATAAATGTGGTGATATCTTTATAACATGCTTGATCTGCTGCTGTCCTAAAACATGGAGCCTCTGGTTTTACTTCACATCCAAGAGGATGTCCCTAACTGAAGCTAGGTACTCATTTTCACCAGACTTGAGTGAGGAAATAGGTGAAAAGTGCCTTTCTCAAGGACACAACACTGGGTCCTGCCAGGGATTCGAACCCAGAACCTTCAGATTCCGAGTCAACAACCCCTAACTACAAAACCACCTTGTCTTTCCAGGTTGTGGAGACTTTGTGGTTCGAGATGTCAGCATGCTGCCTGACCCCTGTC